GCTGTGAAGACTGATCCTACTCACAGCACCAAACAAGCATGCCATCCATGCGCACCCCACCCCATCATTACAGCCCTCATTAATCAGTCTTGTTACTGCCCACAAATAAAAACCCCAGTGGAGAGGAGTGTCCCCACCCCCCCCCATAAATCATCTCCTCCCATTCACTGCCGGGACAATCCCAGGCCCCTCAGAAGGGCAGGGACAAGGGTCATGGTACAGGGACAGGGTGGCTGCAGGGACACTGCCCGTAAGCATCATTTAAGGATCATTTTCTCAGCAGGGAGCACTTAGCACAGGGACCCCTCATGGGTACTACTGGTGCAGGCATGTAGTCCCAGTGCAGGGCCAGCCTTGGCAGGACTTCTCTGTGTCCCCCCTCCTGAGGTCATCATGTCCCCAAGGCCCCCACACCCATTTCCAGCAGAGCTGGAACCACACTGCCCTTGGGTTCACAGGGCATACACACACATCACACACCCGCCTATGTACATGCCAGGGCACACTCATATACACCACACACACAGCCCATACCACATGTGGTGGGTGGGCCCCCATGTGTGTAGGTGCCTGTCGGCACGGGAAGAACTGGGGAACACCCCTCTAACAGCTCACATGAACATAAAGCCCCACTGCTACTGCCCCCAGCACACACGCACATGCTAGAGGACACACACCCCACGACAGCTCCCCAGAGACCTGCTGTGCACCCACACCCATGTCAGCTACAGTTCACTCCCACCTTAGCCCCATCTGCATGCTTGTGAACACACATGCACAAGCATACATGTGTGTTACAACCCCCCATGAGTCCCTGTTCTCACCCACATCAAGGACACATGGACACAGGGATGGGCATGGGACTGCACAACCACCACCCTACACCTCATCAGTGCCTCCCACCCACCCATAGCCCTGAGCATCCCCCTGTACTCCCATCAGCTCACAATCCTGCGTTCCTGACACACGCTGGTGTCCCCAAGCAGCTAGAGGCCTCTCTCTCCTCCAGGCTGGGTGCCTGCCCTGGCACATACTGGACTGTCACCAGCCTGCAGTGACTCCCCCAGACACTGCCCTGGTGGTGGCTTTGGCACCGGCTTTTCTGGCACAGTGCAGCTGGAGTGTCCCATGCCATTCCGCCAGGCACAGGGCAGCTTCCCAAAGGTTGAGGAACCAAGTGAGGGTGGCGCATTGGGAGTCTTCACACTCCAACAGCTTCTCCCCTCCCTGCCTCAGTTTCCACAGCATGGGTGGCAGAACAGGATGAGTCCCCACACCAGGTGCTGCATAGGCACGGGAATCCCCTATGCAGGGCAGTCCTCTGGCACATGGATACCACACACACCAGGTACTGATGGGCACACCTACACCAGGGTGACCCCACAGGGGCTCCTCGTGTTGGGCACGTTTTTGGGCACAGGGAGCCCACACTGACTGAGTACTTTATGAGTATGGTGTTCCCCAGTACCAAGTGCTTACAGGTACAGAGATCCCCCACACTGGGCACTTTATGGGCACAGAGATCTCTCATGCTAGGTGTTTTATGGGCTTCAGAGTCCCCTCAAATGGGGCACAGTGCCCCCATTGTGGGTTCAGTAGGGACACAGGGACACCCCCTGCCTACATGTTCTCTCTGTAAGGACACAGGGATCCCAGCAGATCCCTTTGCATGAAAGGCTGTACAGCAGATCCCCTCCAGTCAGGCATTGCAGGGGCCCGCGGGTGTGGGTTATGGGAAGCGAGGGTCACAGTGGCACGCTGGGGGGGGCACAAGGAGGGACAAAGGACATGCCCTGCACCTGGCATGCATATGCAGAGTTTAACCCTCCGCTGCCCGCAGCAGGCAGGGCCAGCGGCAGCCCGTACCCCCACCCCCCGCACTCCCCGTACCCCTCCCCAGCCCCGTGTCCCCCGCAGCCCCTAACCCTAACTCCGTGACCGGCGGTGCCCGCTTACCTCCCGGCGGCGACGGGCGCGGAGGGGCAGGAGGCAGGACACCAAGGACTTCCCCCAGCCAACCAAGGTGGCAAAGCACCAGCTCAGCCGGGTCATGGTGCCCCTGCCCGGGGCTCACCTGGCGGGGGGAGGGTGCAGGGGCCGACCAGGGCACGCTCGGGGGGGCTGTCGAACCCAGCCCCGTCCCCCCCCCACCGGCCGCAACAAGCTCCGGTGTCCGGGCAGTGCCCCGGAGGTGCCCGGGCGCGGGCACGGGGCTGTGCGACGATGATGTGCTGGGGGGCTGCGGTCCCACCGGGCCCGGTCCCCCCCGCCGGTCCCCCAGCGTCGCCTGCGCGTTGGCAGCCAGGCAGGGAGCACCGTGCCCGCCCCTGTCCTGCAGTGCTTGGGTGGGAGCCAGCTCCGACACGCTCCCCCTCCTCCCCTCCTCCCACTCCTCCTTCTCTTCCTCCTCCTCCCTCTCCTCCGTCCGCACACGGGGCTCGGGGCTTGGCACCCCCGGGACTCACCCGCCTGTCCTCCGGGCACGGCATCCACTGGGGTGAATGCCAGTCCCTAACAGTGTCCCCCGCTCCAGAGCCCTCAGGTTTGGGGATGGAGGAGGTCGGACACCCTGGATTCGATCTCAGCGCAATCCACTATCCCCACTCCGACCCTGCCTCAGTTTCCTTGTAGCACTCCCTACTCACCCCTAGCCCGAAATGGCAACGTGTACAGACAGTGGGGACTTCTCTGCCCCTCTACCAGTCCTCCTGGCACCCCACCAAGCTTCTCCTCTTCCTGGGAGCCTGAGGACACATTCAGGGACACCCCACCCAGCCCCCTTCCAGTGGGGTCTCCTCCCCGAAGCCTGCCTGGCTGATGCACCATGCTGTGGGCACAGAATTACCCAGGGGAACCTCTCCCTGCAGAATAGCTCGAAATGGCCCCGGGCACCCACCTCACCATGGGGCTTGCACAGGGCAGAGGGACAGGGTGCACCCCACTGGGGACCACACATCCTCCATATACCCATCGGGGTGGTGCCAAGAGGAGCTGGCGACAGCACCCCCAGATACTGCCATGATGACATGCTGGTGCGGGGCAAGGATCGTCCCCACAGGGCAGTTGCTGGTGCCAAGCGTGGGCAGTGGCAATGCCAGGCCTGGGCACTAATTGCATTTGCCTTGGGGAGACTCCTGACAAGCAGCCGCACCAGAGAGGGGTGCAGGGAGTTCAGGTGGTCCCCCACACTTCACAGCTGTCCCCCACAGCTCTGTCTGGCACCTAGGAGGGGCAGAGGGCTGGCAGGCAGAGGGGGCCAGGGTACAGCCCCCCCACACTGAGCCCCAGGGAGGTGACATCACTGCTGGCTCCATGGTCCCCCACCCTCATTTAATTAGCAGATGGCCCCCGGCCCCCCCCCGGTGGGCAGCACCAGGCCTGTGCAGGGCCATTAGCTTTATTGGCTGTGCTGAACCAGGGCCAGGCCTCGTTAATTGAATTGCACCCACGCCAAGGACGGGCGAGTGTCTTCTGGGCCTCCCCAGCCTCCAGCATCCCCACCCTAGCCCTTGGCTGGGGCAGGGGCGGGGGACTCTGCTGCCAGGGCACTGCTGTGGCACAGCGGGCAGGGGCACATTCCCCCCACGGGTGTTGGGGTGCTGCCCGTGCAGTGCCTGGCACGGGGCACACGGGTGGGTGCAATGGCGGGCACACACATGTGTCTGCAGGCACACACGGTGCCCTCTCAGACTTGTGCCCACACCCACCACACATGTAGAGCTTGTACCCACACATGCATCCCCATAGCCATGCATGCACAGCCAGCACAAGCGTGCCACTGCACACACGCCTGCACATGCATACAAGAGCACATGCATCCTCCAGGCACAGTGGGCTGATGCTCCACTTCCCCCCACCCCCCTGCCCACACCGCCATCCTATGTGGGATGCTGCATCCCATGCCCACAGTGCCACACACTGGAGTGACACAGGACAAGGGGATCCTGACAAGGCTGGCATCATCTCGAGCACTGCCACTGCCTCTCCCATCCCTCCCAGCTGCTTAAGGGTATCTCAAAGCCCAGCACCCACCAGGAGCCAGGAGGGTGCTGGGAGGCCCAGGCTCCCACTCAGCATCACTTCCTACTTTCACTTTGGTGCTGAGCGAAGCCTGGCTGAGGAGAAGCAGTTGGCCCCCAAGACACCCGGGTGGCACAGGTAGGGGCAGCGTGTGCTACAAGGAGGGGTGTGGCAGAGGGCAGGATGTGGGCATCACTGTGGGCATCCACCAAGCCAAATGGTGGTGGGGAACGGGATGGCAGTGAGTCCTCCTTGGACTGGCAAAATGGGTTGGCATCACCCCTGGCTTCCCCCCCTCCAAGGCTTTTAGTCCTCAGTCCAGACGGAACCCACAGGACAGGGCTGACATAGCACAGGGGGCCAGGCACCTTGGCTGAGGGGCAACTGCTGGGCTGGGGGCTCCCTAACAAGGGGGAGCCTTGGCCAAAATGCTTGGGGGAGAGTTTGCACCCTGGCTCTGGGCATAGCCCCCATGTGTGGGGCAGATGCCAACAGAGGGCTGTGGTCCTTGCTGGGGGAGGCAGTGGTCCTTGCTGGGGGATGAGGGATGGGGGCTGCAGATCCTGTGGGGGTCTCTGTACCCAGGGGCTGTTGGCACTGGGGAGTGGGCTCTGTGCCAGAGGCTGCTGCTGACTGCTTTGAGCTGGGTATGGGTCCTTCCACAAAAATTGCAGGATGGTCCTTCAAAGTATTCCCAATTCCCACTCTCATGGGAGGACACCAGGGTCTCCCCAGACCTGACACTGTCCTTCCTCTGTCCTCCACAGAAGCTGCCTAGGGGGACCAGCCTTGCTGACCCTTTCCCCAGAACTGGCACCCTCCATAACAGGGAGCGGGGTGCTGGGGGCTAAGCTGCAGTGCCTGATGTGATATGGGCCGGGTGGGTGGTGGCTCCTGCGGCCTCACCGACCTCCCACACTTCCTCCTGGCCAAGGTACAAAAGGAGAAGCAGGCAGGCACAGCGTGGGCGCAGCACACTCCAGTGTGCCCCCAGCACTCAGAGGGCACCTCGGGGCACCCCCACACCTCCTGGCCACAGGTAAGGGGCTTCTCTTCCCTGGGGAGACTGAGGCATGGGCAGGGTGGGCAGATGGGAAGATAGTTCATTGAAGGTCTCTCAAGGGCACTGGAATGGGAACACAGGCATCCTGAGTCCCATGTCCTGCTCCGTCACTCTGCCGTGACAGAGGGCACAGGGAAGGGCACACAGCACTCACTCACTCTTGGGCATGCTTGGACATGCTCATGCACACCCCTCCTGTGAGCGCACACACACCCTGCCATGCACACCCCCATGCACACGCGTGTTCCCCCACACCACCCAGACACCATCCACAGTGACAAGCCACAGACCTGCCACCTCCATGGGCTCTTTCCTTCACCCTGTCCCCAGGCTGCCACCCACCGCTCCCCAAAATTACTCCACTGCACTGTGCCCCCCAGCTCCCCACCCCATGCCCACAACACCCCCAAGCCCCGTGCCAGCCCCCCAGGGAGCATGCTGTGCCAGAAGGTTCTGCCAGAGGGGGAGGCTTAGTTTGGAGGGGCTGCATGTCAGGAGCTGTGTGTCCCCCTTCCCCAACCATCCAGGACCCCCACACTGCTTGTGATGTGAGGGAAGCAAGAGCAGAAGAAAAAGCAGAGCTTCCCCTGTGCCAAACCCACATCCTGAATCCTGGGGAACAGGGACAAGGACAGGGACACACTGGGGATGAGTCATGCTCAGCCTCAGGAACTCCCTAGGGAATGGGAGCAGAGGCTGAGGACATTTTGGGGCAGGGCACATGGACAAATAAAGGGGTACAGGATACACCTTTGTCCACCCCATCCCTCCTACCCCATGCAGTGAGGGCACATGGGCAAGGAAAGAGGGTGCTTACACCCACTCTCTCTCACCTCAACAGCAGGCAGGTCTGGGATAGAGCTGGGTGAGGATTGACCCTCTCCCTGGGACAGAGAGTTTGGGCGTGCCAGAGGACTGCCAGCCTGGCACCTCTCATCACTGCCCCTGCCTTTGCAGATCCCTGTGCAGAGCCATGGCAGGGGACGGGGAGCTCAACCGTGTCATCAAGGACTTGCAGAGTAAGTGTGCCAGCCAGTCCCCTGCCAGCGTGTCCCCTGTATGGCACATCTCACCCTGGCTGTGCTGGGTCCTTTCTTGCACCCAGCCCATGGGCAGCAGGGGTGTCACTGTCAGGGTGCTCCAGAGCATATCAGTGCCAACCCGACCACTGCTGCCTGCTCCTGTCCTAGCTGCCAGTCTCTGGGGACTGGCAGTGCCCAGCGGGTAGCTGTGCTCCTTGCTCCCCCTGCTCCCCTGTTTCATCCTAGGGCAAGTTCCTCTTTCTCTTTGGAGAAAAGGAGTCTCAGGGGGACCTTATGTCTCTCTACAACTGCCTGAAATGAGCCTCTTCTCCCCAGTTACAAGGGTTAGGACAAGAGGAAATGGCCTCAAGTTATGCCAGGAGAGGTTTAGGTTAAATATTAGGAAAAATTTCTTCACAGAAATGGTTATCAAGCGTTGGAACAGACTACCCAGGAAAGTGGTGGATTCACCACCCATGGAGGTATTTAAAAGATGTGCAGATGTGTCACTTGGGGACATGGTTTAGTGGTGGACTTAGCAGAGCTGGTTCTCAACTAGACTGGATCCTAGAGGTCTTTTCCAACTTAGATCCTATAATTCTGTGATTTTACCTGCCATTAGAAATCCCTAGGTCCAGGAGTTGTGAGGCAGTGGAGAGGGGGATGGGATGGGAGAGAGTACCTGCTGTTTGCTGCCTGGGCAGTGCCATGCCAGCTCAGCCCTGCCGTCCTGCAGAGACTGTGGCTGAGCTGAACTGCAGCTACCGGGAGCAGAACCTGCCGGTGACGGATGGGAGCCGGGAGCTGCACAGCCTCTGTGCCCAGCTGGAGTTCCTCCTCCAGGTACTGCTTCTCCTCTGTCCCTGCTGCTCCCCACCTTAGTTTCCCCTTAGGCACAGCTGAGAGCAGAAAGGACCCTGTGTTAACCATTCTGGGGGGTGGTATGACCCCAGCCAGCTTTGTCTGGCCCTGGGCAGTCCCAGCCACATGAGCACCTGGACCAGGCTCTCCCTCATCCACGTGTGTAATTACACGTGCCGCAAAAGGGAAATTGAGGCATGGAGCCAGTGAAGAGAGGACAGCCAGGGGACACCCGGACCAACCCTGCTGGGGCAGCTGGCTGGATCCCAGCCCCACAGGGGACAGGCTGGGAGACAGGGGACACCTTCAAACAAGAAACTCCAAGCTTATACGTCTGCCAGTTCGACCTCAAGGAGAAGAGGAGCTTCTTTGGGCAGCGCAGGGACTACTGGGACTTCTTGTGCCAAGGCCTGGCACGGTGCCGGCAGGAGCACGAGGGCGTTCACTTCGTCACCTCCCTGGACAAGGTGGGCATGGGCTGGTGGAATGCCTGGGGACTTGTGCACACACATGTGCTTCTGCTTGCTTATGGGTGCACATGCACTTGTGCACAGGTACACACTCACTTGGGCACTGAGGATTCACCCACTGGTGCTATAAAGGGTTTTCTCCCCTCTGGGGTCCCCACTGCCCCCCAGCCATGGACCTGGGGACCTCCTTTCCCCCTGCATGGGCTGGGGGGGAGGTGTGCAGGGGGCAGACTGGTGTGACAGGGCTTGATAACCCCTTCTCCCTCCCAGCTGAAGACTCCTGTGGGCAGGGGCCGAGCCTTCCTGCGGTACTGTCTGGTGCACCGGCAGCTGGCAGAGTCCCTACAGCTCTGCCTCCTCGACCCCGAGAGCCTGCGGTGAGAGCAGGGGCACAGCGAGGGTGGGGGACATGGCCGAGATGGGCAGCGCCCTGCAGCACCTGGTCAGTAAGGGTGCTGCAGGCATATGTGCCCACCCAGGGCATAGAGGGGTGCATGAGCCTGTTTTGTGGTTGCAGCGAGTGGTACTACGCCCGCAGCCCTTTCCTGAGCCCCCAACACCGGGCGGAGATCCTGGGCAGCCTCTATGAGCTGGACTGTGTCACCTTCCACCTGGCTCTGCACAGGGACGACCTGGACACCGCCTGGCCCATGTTCTCTGAGTGAGCCTGGGGACACCGGGACACGGGGGCATTGGTGGCACCAGCAGTGTCAGGGGCATCAGAGGTACCTGGGGCTCAACATTGCAGAGCAGCATATGGGCATTGTCCAACTTCCCTGGACCCCATGTGGCACCCCAGAGGTGCCAGCCCTCCATACATGGCTCCAGGAGGGCACAGATACCGGCACCAGCACACACACCATGCCTGTGCCTGCAAACATGCCACACACATGTGTACACACACACAGAGCCATCCTCTGCCAAGTACACCCCCAGGCACAGGTCTGCTGCAACACTGTGACGCTGTGACATCTGACACACGGGGGCACATGTGTGTGTTTGCACACCCTTGCCCTCCGGGCACGCTTGCAGGGGGACACCCATGAACGCAGCCGTTCCAGCACACTCACATCTGTTCTGCTGCTCGCACACTTGTGTGCACGCACTGCCACAAGCATACATGCAGCCCCAATGCCCCCCTGCAACCACCACAGGAGTCTCTGGGTGCCATCCATTCAGTGGGTTCTCAGGCTGGTGGCACCAGCATCCCTGGTCCCCTGCCACCAGGTGCCACCTGGTGTCACCAGCCCTGCTGCCCTTTACATCCCCAATGGTTGGCTGTGCACAGGGAGCTCAGAGGGAGGATGGCAGTACTGTGCTCACCTTGGGGGTGACCTGGTGACCCTGAGCCCTGTGTCCTCTCTAGGTCGCTGGTACGGCCCAGCTCGATGACCAGGAGTGGCCCAGCAAAGACAGCCCCGCAGACAGACAACACCAGCACTGGGGCACATACATGGCCCGATGGCATCGCCCATCCTATCGTGGCACCCTGTGGGACACCAGCTCACCCATGTCCACACACCTTGTCTGCCCTGCGGGCAGGGGATGTAGAGGTGGAGGACATGGAGGGGGGTGTGGAAAACACGGAGATGAAGAAGGACATGAAAGAGGAGGACGAAGAGGAAGTGGAAAAGGATGAAGACAAGGATACAGAGGAGGAGATGGAGAATGTGAAGGTGGATGTGGAGGAGGACGTGAAGGAGGATTTGGAAGAGAAGGATGAAAAGGAGTTGGAGGATGTAGATGTAGAGGAACTGAAGGATGCACATGGCTCTGGCAAATCACCTCAGCCTGATGGTGCCAGTGAGCCTGGCACTACCCCACTCATTGGCATGAGGTGCACTCTGAGTTCTCCATCACTGGTGCCCAGGCAGCCAGGTGGAATGGAGGCATCCCTGCAGGCACTGGTGTCCCAGCTGAGGGCTGAGCTGGGTCAGCAGAAAGTGGCAGTGCGGGCACTGGCAGCACGGCTGGCACGGGCAGAACTGCGGCACCAGCAGCAGGAGGAGGGCAGTGCCCAGCGGGCCCAGCTGTGGGCACATGAGGCTGAGGCACTGAGGGAGACCAACGCCTTCCTGGAGCAGGCACTGGAGACGGTGGTGGCAGCAGGGTGCCCGGGGGCACTGGCACAGGCACAGGAGGAGGCAAGGGGCTGGCAGGAGGTGGCGGAGGAGAGGGGCACCCAGCTGGCTGAGGTGCTGGCAGAGGGGGCAGCGCTGGCCTCACGCCTGCGGGAGTGCCAGGCAGCACTGGTGGCAGCAAGACAGACAGACATCCTGGGGCATGCTGGTGCCCCAAATGAGGTGGCCGTCGTGGAGGAGGTGCTGCGGCAAGCACTGGAGCTCGCCTGTGGTCCCCAGGAGCCCTCACTGGACCCCCAGGCAGAGGGGAAGCCCAGCACATCTGCCAGCATGGCCATGGTATGAGCAAGCCTGAGGGAATCCCATGGTGGGGCAGGGGTTTGGGGTCCAAAGTTGAGCTGCCACTCTCCCACAGCGCTTGGCCAGCCTGGTCACTGCAGCGCGGGAGGAGACATGGCAGAGCCGGCAGCAGCTCCAGGCCCAGCGACAGGAGGTGGCACGGTTGCAGGAGGAGCTCAGCAGGTGGGGCAGGAGCCCCCACTTCCATCACCCACCACTCCACAATGGGATCCCCCATCTCCACCTGCCACATGGTTTCCCTTGGGACCCCCAATGATGTCCCACTTGGACACAGGGGAGCAGCAGCTGGGGATGGGCAGGGGGAGGGAGGGAAGGATTTGGGGAAGGATGACTGCAGCCAGGGGTCAAGTTGGAACTGACAGGTAGGTGGAGAGGTGGGTGGGCAGAGGGGTGGAGTGATTTGGGGTGAGTGGATGGAGGGAGGGCAAGAGGGATGAATTTGGGATGGATGGATGGAGATGGGATGGTGGATGGAAAGACAGAGGATGAATTTTGGGTAAGTAGATATATGGGGGGGTGGCCAGAAGGCTAGGGGAATGGGTGTGGGGAAGGATGGAAGAACAGTGGGGAAGCGGATGGATGGCTGACTCAGCAGATGGCAAGGTGGCTGTGGGGATGGGAACACAGCTTGGGGATGGATGGGCATCAGAGAAAAGGAGGGAGGGAGGAATGAATGGATGCATACATGCATGCATGCATGGAGAGATGACCAGTTGAGAGACAGGAGGACCATCTCCCCGCTGCCCCGTGCCAGGGCCCGGCAGGACGGTGAGCGCTGGGCATCAGCGCTGCAGCGGGCACAGCGGGAGGCCCTGGAGCGGGAGGCCATGCGTGGCGCCGAGCAGGCGCGGCAGCAGGAGCTCATCCGCGACATGAAGGAGCGGCTGCTGGAGTTGCTGCGGTGAGAGCCCCGGAAACTCCATGCAAGGGCAAGGGGGTCCAAACTCCTTTGCCCAGAGGAGGGCACCAGAGCCCAGACAAATACAGGGCTGACCTGTCCCCTCCTGCAGGGAGAAGGATGCCCTGTGGCAGAAGACAGAGGGCATCGACAGCCCCATGCCCGGCCCAGCACCCCGTGACACAGGGCTGTGCTCCCGCTGCCACAAGGATTTCCGCCTCCTCTCCCGGCGGTACAGCTGCAGGTGGGCTATGGGGGTACCTGGGGGTGGCACTGACACAGCACTGGGATGGCACAGCTCTCACCACCTGCTCTCTCAGCAGGCTGTGCCAGGGCAAGGTGTGCCACGCGTGCTCCATGGACTTTGGCAAGCAGGGCCGCTGCTGCCTGATTTGTTACCAGCAAAGGCACCCACAGGCTACATGAGCAGGGACTGCAGCCCTGGCACCATTCCTGGGGCACTTCCTGCCCTGACTGTCTCCTCTCAGACTTACTGGGGACCCAGGTGTCTAGGGCCTTCATGCAGGTCCTGCTGCCCAACATTTCAGGTTTGAGATCTGTCTTTCTTGTGGCTGGTCCACAGAAATGAAAACAACCCATTTCTGTTATCCCTGCGGCTCTCATGTCATCTGTCAATCGTTGCCAGATTGACACTCAAGCTGGGTGTGGGGTGGGGGAATGCTGGCATGGGGGTGTTCAAGTCCTCTTGGGGGTGTCCTGCCTGCAGCCAGGCTGAGCCACTGCCTGCCCTGTCCCACAGCAGGGAGGGAAGACAGCTCTTGGCCAACAGCTCTGGCTTCCTACCATGCTGCGAGGAACCACTTGGGCAAGCGGTTTCTCAGACACAAAGGTGATGGGCTCAGCACCCCCACTGACCCTGCTCAGCCTCAAGTCCCTGGGGCTCCCTCCCGGGTGCCAGGAGACCCCCGTACCCACCCATGAGCCAGCACATGGGTGACACCCATTGATGCCCCCATGGTTAAGGACCCCCAGGAACCTGGATCAAGGGCAATGGAGGAGCAGTATGGGACCCCTGTGAAGAGATGCTTAGGAGTGCTGGGGCAGGCATCCCAATGCCTGACACACAGGGTGGCAGGAGAGTCCCCAACAGGGTCACAGCCCCCTCTTCAGCTCCTCTACCTCAGTCAAATGTCAGCCCCAGTTGCCCAAGCCGGGGCAGAAACATCCCGTTTGTGTAAGGGACAGGTTCCCAGCCCTTTGCACAACAATATCCTGACACTGTGGTGTCGGGGGGAGAAGGGGGTGCCTGGGGTGCTGGCACCCTTCAGGCAGGGGTCACAGTGCTGGCTCAGTTTCAGTGAGGGGCTGCTTAGGGATCTTTCAGCAATTTGCTCCACTGGGGCTTGGACTGGGGTTGGGAAAGGAATGGCTTTGTCCCCAGGTGGGACAGACTCCACATGGAGACCTCTGTACAAGGGAAGTGCTAGGACCTGGCTGGGTGGCTGTAGGGAGAGAAACCTGGGCTTGGGCCCCTTCTGGGGTTTTACAGGATGCCAAACCCTCTGCAATAGCCTCTGGGGCAACAGCCCTTCCCTGTCCTGGAAGCAGGGTTACCCATACTCTGAAAGGCTCAGCTGGCACCACCATTTTGGCACTGTCCATGGAGATGGGCTCTGTCCCTGTCCTGCTGTCTCCTTTCCTGTGGCAAAGAGAAGCCAGACCTGGGTGATCAACCCACTAACTCCTTTATTGCTGGATGGTCAACGGCCACAAACACCATCCCCACAGCAGGCTCTCAGAATCCCCAGAGTCACAGGCTTTGTCTCAAAGAGAGGGGAGGGTGGGCAGCACTTGGCATCACTCCTCTGGCAATGGGATCCTACCACCTTGCCACCCAAGCCCCCTTCCAGGTGGGGTCCAGCATCCAGTGGTGGTCCTGCCCATCCCCATAGCATCACCACCCACATTCCAGGGGGCTGGATGAGGATGCTGAGGTGTGTGGGGTGCTGGGATCTGCTGGGAGTCATGAGGACTGGGTACCAGAAGGGCTCAGAGGGTGGTGGATGTGTTGCCAGAGGTGGAGGCATAGGAGGCACGGCCATAGCGGGCAACAGCATCCTTGCTGATCAGCCCACGCTGCGCCAGGATCTTGAGGAAGCTGTTGCGAAACTTCTGACCGATGAAGGCGTAGATGATGGGGTTGATGCAGCTGTGGGCAAAGCCCAGGACCTGTGTGACAGAGAGGGCTGTGTCGATGCGGTTCCTCCTGTCACAGGTCTCGGCGATGGCCCGTGTCCTCATGAGGGTGTCGCTCACCAATGTGATATTGTAGGGCAGCCAGCAGACAAGGAAGACGAGCACCACGGCAAAGATGACCTTCATGGCCCGCTGCTTCTGAGCATTCTTGGTCTGCAGGAGGGTGTGGATGGTGACACCATAGCAGAAGAGCATCACCAGGAGGGGCAAGGCAAAGCCGAAGGTCTGCGGCAGCACTCGCAGCACTACCCGCCACTTGGCCGTGTCCTCTTCACCAATGCGCTCATAGCACACGGTGCCATTGGTGGGTGAGGTGAAAGCCTCACGGAAGAGCAGCACAGGCAGGGAGAGCAGCACAGAGAAGACCCAGATACCCAAGCAGACAAACTTCACCCAGTGCCTCTTCTCAGTGGCGGCCCGGGTGGCGTAGACAATGGCCAGGTAGCGGTCGACACTGATGCAGGCCAGCAGCAGGATGCCGCTGTAGAAGTTGGCTTCCTGCAGCACGGAGATGGCTTTGCACATCACGGTGCCAAAGACCCACTCGTGGGCTCGGTAGGCGGCCCAGAGGGGCAGGGTGAAAGCAAAGAGCAAATCTGCCACGGCCAGGTTGAGCAGGTAGACGTCAGTGACAGAGCGGCTGGTGTGGCTGGAGGTCACCACCAGCACCACTAGCCCATTCCCCACTACACTGAGGATGAAGACAAGGCAGTAGATCACCACCACCAGGTACTTGTTGAGGACAGAGCCATCGGGCCGGCACGGGGCAGAGGAGATAGCGGTGTCAGGCAGGGCCGTGCTGTAGTCATAGGTGTAGTTGTAGAGGGAGAATAAGCTGGAGAAATCCCCATTGAAGGACAAGGACTCCATTTTGCCTGTGGAGCACAAAATGGCATGAGTGTGGGGTGGCAGAGTGGTGTGGGCCAGGTGTGACAGCATCTCTGGGTCCCCTGGCATCTCCATCACGGCCTAGGTCCCCTCCCAGGCAGTGGGCAGCACTCCTGCATCACTCCACTGTATTCACACTGTGCTAGGTAATGGGCAGCGCTGCAGGTGGACACTGTCCCTCATATGTCCCCTTGTAAAACGCCCCCTGCACCCCTTGGTTTCCTCCACTTTACCCCAATCCTGTCCCTTCCCTGACTCCTGTAGAAGAAGGAGTTCCCCCACAGACTGACCACCTCTTCTCTGGTTGGGGGCCTCCCCCATCAATGTAGCATCACATCTCTCCAGGAGATACCTGGCTCCTCTGGCAACCGTGGGGTCCCCTGGTTTGTGTGGGTCCTTCAAAAGCCTTCTGAGCTCTTTGGGCATCTCAGAGCCCAATGGGGACCTCTGAAGTTCTTCAAGCACCCCTGGATCCCACCAGCCTCTCCAACCCCTCAAGTATCACTGCTGCAGCTGCCTCTCATGCCACCTCAGCCAGGCTGTGGTCATGGTGCCTGGGGCAGGCGGCACTGAAGAACATCTGAAGGTGTTTCATGCCCTTCTTCCCCCTCCCACTCCTGTTCCTCCGTGAGTGGTTTCAAGCCCCAGACGGAAAGATGTCACACACTTTGCAGGAGGCTTTGGAAATATTTCACATCTCTGGTCTTCCTGTTGCTCAGCTGGGCTCTGCTAGGCATCCTCATGTTCCCCATACTTGGCCTCAATGGGGAAATCACAGGTGACAGTCACTCTTCCTGTTTCCTCACGTGTAGGAGACAACAAGCTTGCTCTGTTCCTACCTCCCCAGAGACCCCTGGCTTTCAGTCTTCTCCCAGTATGGATACGGACTCCGGTTTCATTCCATTTTCACCCCTGCCCCATTTCTGAGCCCTCAAGCCCCTCCAGCGCTTGGAGAGGCCAGGACTGTCTGGAGGTGCTGAGTCCCTGCAGTGCTGGGGGGTTTCTGGCCCCAAACTGGCTCTGTTTGAACCTAAACCCTCCCTGGGACCAACTTTCCCCTTTTGCCTGACAGGAATTCCCTGCTGCAGCTGGGCTGGTGCCCACTGCCCAGAAAAATGCCTCCCTGGCTCTGCTGTCCCCTCTCCAGCAGTTTTCCCGGAATGGTAATCCTGAGGTGGTGATCCCAGGATGGTGATGCTGGGATGCTGATGTCCCAGCATGCCAGAGGACCACAGCCAGGAATGCTGCCAGTGTCCATGAGGAAGGTCCTCTTGACTGAGGCTTCCACAGGCATGGGGCAGAGCCAGACACCAGTGCTTCCCCTCTGTCTGTTTCTGGCTGCTTCTTTCTTCCTCCACACTCCAAAATCCTACTGGTTCCTCCAGAACTGGGTATTCCCTCACTCATGGGTATCCCACAGCTGGCCCAACTGGGGGAGCAAGCAGCACACAATTTCCCCTCCTGACTCTGGAAGGGCTGGGGGACACTGGGGTGGCCCTGAGGGTCCCAGCAGGGAGGGAGGAGGGACACACCTTGGGGATGCACCCTCCCGGCTCATCGCTGTGTGAGGAAATGGGAGCAGGCACTTTCCCCCCACAGCACCCAAGGCTGATGTCCCTGGGGACTATGGAGGGTTTGCACCCCAGACGAGCCCTCAGCACAGCCCTGGGTGCCCCTACCTCTTACCTCCCTCTCCCCTCACACCAGGCAGCTCCTTGGGCAGCTGGAGCAGCCCACCCCGGCCCCCAGCCTGCTCCACATGTGAAGGGGCTGAGATGCTGGGGGGCTGTCAAAGCCCAAGGAAAGCCCCAACCTCCAGTGGAGAATCCCAGGGACTCACCGCTCACTGCTGTCGCTGTCCCCTCAAATCTGGGGTCTTCTCCCAGTCCCAAGCTTTTTCTCACTGGGAAGCACACAGGCACTGGTTCAAATCCAGATGTCACCCCCAAAGGGCTCCGGAACAAAGTGTGCTGGAATGTGCAGCACCCGGCCGGGGGGTCCCTCACCTGCGCCCGTGCTGTGCCACTACCCAGTGCCCCTTCCTTCCGCTGCCCTCTTTATGCTGCTTGGGGAGGAAGCGAGATTGCAAAACCTTCTCCCAGCATGAAGGGGAAGTGGCAGCTCAAGGGACCCTTCCCCAGTCCCCCCAGGATGCTTTTCCCGGGCTAAGGGAAGCCCGTAGATCCCTGTCACTCTCCTGTCCCAGGCCACCCCGTACCGGCAGTACACCCGGGGGTGCATTGTCACCCCTGCAGTAATGCCTCCTGGGGTTCTCCAGCTGGGGGTCCTCACCTTGTCCCCAGGCCCTCAGTGGGTGCGAG